GATTAGGGCTTCATCACTTAATGAAAATGCAGATTAGAGAATATTGATCAGATATTACAAATATTTTTCACTTTCTACCAAGTGCACATAAAGTTTTAAATGCATTTGTGCCAGTTACTTGTTTGAGTTGACTTTTTGAAAATTTGGTTGTATTTTGTAAATTCTTTAGATAAATTCACATTATAGTTATAAATTTTGTATTATTTTATATATTTTATTTGATTTCTTAAATTTTAATTTCATTAAAAAGAAACTGAAATTTCAGTTTTTCTTAGGTGATTTATGTAAAAGTTGAGCCAAACACGAGCCACATATGCATGGTGCCATGAAAAAGAGTTGAATACAAATATGTTATTCAGAAAAAAATTTTAATGTGAGTTGGACTAAAAAATGATACTATATAACCAAATATTCAATAAATAAATCTAATTCCATATCTACACAGAGCTGGTTCATCATCAAGCCTCAAATCATGTCTATTTATATGCAAATTTGGTCAATCAACAGATTTATTGTTTTAATTAGTAACATTTCATATATAATTAAGTTTTATCTTTATTTTGTTTATATATGAAAATCGTAGAAGTCTTCTTATCTCTTCTATTAAATTTTGTTTGTTCATGAATACATGTTATTCATTTTAGTTGCTTGAATTATTTTATAGCTCCTTCAATTAAAGTCTTATTTTTATAAACTCAATGAATTAGTCATTTATAATCTTAGTAAGGTTCCTTTAGCTAACTAAACTAATAAGTTGTTTTTGTTAATAGACTCGATAAGGCTCTTTTAGTTAGATAACACAAAGCACAATAGTAATACTTATTAATCTATTAAATAATTATTCGGTGAACCAAAGACAAATTGAGCGTAAGCATAATTGAAACACCTATAATCTTAAATATGTTGAAAGCTCAAGCTGGACTCAAACAAAAATGTGATAAATGAGCTCGAGTTTGAAAAATGTTTTTCTTGACTCGGTTCTATTTGTTTGCAGCTTTCAATTCCATCCTCATCATGAGGTGGCCCAAATATTTAAATAACACATGACATATCACTTGGCTATTAGTGTTCAAAAATATTCCCTAGAATAGTAATGTTTTTTGTCCCTCAGCTTGGCTATTTCTTTTCAAAACTATATAAAAATGTAAAGGTTGAAAGCAATCTCTTCTTAAAATATGTAGTAATCTTATTGACATCAATTATTGTTCCTCTTTTATTGGCCCAATAATCTTTAACTAATAAATAGGGAAAAAGTTTATCCCTTTATTAAAATGTTATATTAAATATTTTGGGTGGTTGGTACATGAAAACCCTAAATAAATATGTGAATTAATGGAGATTTACAATAATGCTTGGCTCGAAATTACATCACTAGTGATTTCAATAAGATGAGAAAGAATGATGAGATGAAATGCTTAGATATCTTTTATTTGATGAGTCAATGAGGTGAAAGAATGAGCTAAAATGATGCATATAGCTAGAAGATGAGCATTATTCTCTTTGAATGTATATAAGACAAATATTTTTTAAGAAAATATGCAGAAGGACTTGAATTATATGATTCTTTAGTTTGTCTTTCAAAGCTAGTCAAGAGCAATTCGCATATCAAAATAAGTCTTACTAAAAATATGGTTAGATATTGTCTCTTTGATGACCAGAAATTTATTGGTTTAAATTATGTCAACATATATGAAAATGGAATAACGTTTAAATTATGTCAATAAGATTGTAATATTTTTTTTCTTGGTTGAGTATGCTTTGCCTTTTAAAAGGGATCAACATCAATATTGCATTAATGAATTAAATTGATGGAGAGATTTGAAAGAGCAATTGGAGCTCATTAGAAAATGTCAAGAAATAAGTTTAAATCTACCTCATGAATGAACAAAAAAGGAAGGAGGGAAAACAAACAAAGTTCTCAAAGAAGGTGACATTAAAAAAATAAAATAATAAAAATAATACAATAATAATAATAATAATAATACAAAATAAAACATAAAAGTCAATTTGCAATGCTTAACAAAAAATAAATTAAAGTCAACAATCGCAGAGTTCGGGGAACTTAGAGCACTTAGTTCTTTAAATAAGTTTGGTCAAGTTATAATCAACAGTTGAAAAGTAGTTTGTCAGTGTACATTAAAAATGAGTTAGCATTGATCTTAAAGATATCCATCCGTTCAGCAGAGAAGACAACAGCGAAGGCTAACCTGTTGCCAGAAAAATCATAAGGATAACTTGACCGATTGAGCAGAGCCATGAACGTGAGCCAAGCCAGCAAAGACAAAACCGACTGAGTCATGAAGCAGGAAGAAGATGATCAAACGATCCGAGCATGAACCATTTGACCAGAAACAAGAACAAAAAAGCATTTGCGCCAACCACTACAGAAGAGCCAACGCGATGTGATGGCCTGCCCTCTAATAGAGCTGATCCAAGAGAAGATCAAGTTCCACAAAATCTCTAATTATCCCATGGAAGCTCTAGATGTGCCTGCTCATTGATCAACGATTGACAACCAAGCTATATCAACCAATCAACCCTTGCCGACTAAACTTAGTCAACCGAGTTGATCCTGTCGACCCGAAGTCAACTAAGCTTAGCATGTCGAGCCAGAAAGTAGTTGAAAGATTTATTTGTGCATGTAAAACACCATAAAAATTTGAGTCGGACCCCTTTAAAGCGGGGTCAAAAATAAAATATTATCAATGTACCCTCTCCTCTATAAATAGGTGAACCATTTTATTAATAAAATACCATTAATTACTATTAATTTATATCTCTCCACCTTTCCTTACTACACTCTACTCATTGGATATGATTCACGAACAAATCAATCTTCAATCGCCAGTAAGTATGTGTCTGTGTGCAAGTGTGTCTATATAGATCGTATCGTCACTTGAGAATCTAATTATATATTAATATTGGCATTTAAGTATGACTTAAACATTGACTCTTATTAACTAATGACAATTTTTTCTAGAGAAGTTGAGAACCACACCCAGTTATATTAAAAAATTATTCATTAAGGTACCAAAACTTCTGATATTCTCAATTTACAAGGTATTAATATTGATAATATGTACACCCTCTGTTCTAATAACACTGAGAATCATGATCATCTCTTTTTTGAGTGTCAACTATCCAATTATCTTCTAAATAAATGTGTTCCTAATGGGAACTTTTTCATTGCTCTTTCTAATATATTTCAGGTTTTATATTACTTTGATAATATTCCCTATAAAACTCAGAAGAAATTTCATCTTTTTGCTTTTCAGATAACTGCATATTACATGTAAAATGTAAGAAATACTAGAATTTTTAAAAATAAATCTACTCCTATTAGCTCAATTATTATGATATCAACTGTATAATTAAAAATAAATGTCGGAAGTGGAAATTTAGGAGATATTTACCAAATACTATCATTCAATTTTATGATATCAACTCTTAAATTTTAAGTCTTTATCTTTCTATTTTTTTGGCCTTTGTTTCTTGGATATTGTTAGTACTAATTGTTTGTGATCTTTTGATTCTTTTTATTGCTTCTTTTTTACTTCATTGTTTATTCCAGTTTGGTTACTTCTCCTGTTGACTAGGTTCTTTAATGTATCCTTGTTTATACATTCTCCTGTTGTTACAATTTCTGTCAGCTTTATTTTTTTAGTAAGCTCTATTTTCTTATAATGATCCTCTTATTTTGTTTATTGCATCTTTTCTCTTTTTAGTGGTTTTCTATCTTCTGTCTGTTTTTATTTTTTCTTGTATATTGTCTGTATATTTCCTTTTTTCGGTTCTTTATTTTTCAAATATTAGTTGTTTTGAACAATTATATTTATATTTCAACCAGTTTTAGTATACTCTTACATACTCTAAACTTTGGATGGAGTTTAATTTTATATATGGCTAGTTCATTTTTAGTTTTCTTGCTCAATTGCCTTTTTGCATTTTTTGTTCTATAATTGACTTTTGTCTTGTGTTCTCATTCCTGACATTGCTTTTGTGCTTTACTAATGACATATTTGATAAACTCAAACTTTCGTTATTCTATATATCCTCCTAAAACGTGATAATTATAACCAATGATGATTCAACATTAATTAAATATTTCATGTGATTTTACTTTTCATAAACCTTAATAATAACTTCTTCCCCCAAAAACAAAAAAAAAGAGAGAAAATTAGGTTTCTAATATATTAATAATGATCATTAAGAATTGGCTAAACTTTTGGATTAAAAGGATTTAATCCAAAAATATGGATGCCAATCAACAGCAGCATGATGGCTTGATATATATTTACTTTACCTAATGCCTTGTGCTGAAATAACAAATCATAATTGTCTGTCTCATTACAAGCTAAAAATTATTTTTGAATTCAACTCTCATCTACATTATATTTATTCTTAGACTGTCAATATTTATGAAAACTATTACATGCCTCACTGTGAACTTGTCCTTAATTTCAAATAAGTTCTGCCTCGGTTAAGAGAACTTCTTACATGCGGCAACCGTATGCTCAGACGACGGCTCAAATAGGCTGTCTTGCGATCCATGATGGCATGAGCTCATCCGGCTCATTATCCTGAAGTGCATTCAATCGCACGTAATAATTTTTCGTCAAATGAATATACAATTTTCACCCACGATGGTACCAAGAAATTGTATTGATGCTTTAAGTCAAAGAACATGGGCCATACAAGATGTTACAACCGCGTCAACATAGGCAGGCCAATCATTCTCCGATGCAATTATACACAGAATCTTTTATAATTTTTTATAATTATATTGATGAATCTTAGGGCAAATGTGCTAAAGAAAATGAGTCAAGATGCTGAGTGTGACAATGAGTTGTCATTTTATATATGATTTTCATTGAAGCTTGCATATAAATTTTTTTTTCTTGAAAAAATAAACCAAACAATCGAAAGATTTATGAATGAGGACGTCGGCATGAATTGCACCACGCCGCATTGCCACAATCCGAACAAACTTTTTTGTTTGGACATAATATCTTATTGAACAAAAGAGTCTAATATGACTTGAATTATTGAAAGTTTCTTAATTAGAAGTCGAACTTGCAACCTCTTCATAGAAAAACTATTACATATCGATCATCCGCACAAACGGAATGAGTGTATTTAAGATTTAGGGTCTACCCAATTCAGTACACCCTAAATATCCGCACAAACGGATTGAGTGTATTTGAGATTTAGGGTCTACCCACCTCAGTACACCCTAAATACACCCGATCCGCACATGTGTTAACTCAGTGTTTCATAATCTCTCCTTTCCATGAGAAGAAAATGTAAGCAAGCCTCTCCTTTGTTAATTACTTCTCCAACAAGGAAGGAAATTGATCTAATTTGCTCCAACACCTAAGAAATCAATGAAAGGAAGCTTAATCTTCTCCTTCTTATGATCCGTCTTCTTCAGCATGAAGTTGTTTGCATTTTGACTTTTCATTGTTTCTGTTGATGAAGACTCATAGTCTAGATCAGAATTGTCAGATAGATCAGTTCTTCCAGCCACCGGTTTTCCATCAGAACCTAGGAGTGTTTGATAAATTTCATTAATATCAATTCAATCATTATGTCAATTTTCTGTTTAACACTTAATAAATTATAATAAAATGTCTTTTTAGTTCATTTTGATAGAAGTTGCTAATTTGATGTTTAAGAAAGTAATTAAATATCAATCAAGGATAAGGATAGGTCCAATCAAATGAATGGCTTTTTTCAGAATGAAATTGAAGAAAATATTATACGTCAAGATAGTCATGCGCACAGCGACGAGCTACGATCCTTGCCGTCATCCGCACGACCGGACGATTGATGGACGATAATATTTTCTCAATAAGTTGAAAAGCTGCTGTGATAAACCAACTTCATGAGACTTCTTCAAAGTTTTATTTTAAAAATTGACTTTTTTCATAAGCACATCTTATAAGATTTTAACAGAAGCATATTTAGACCAATCATTCAAGTCCCTAAAGTTTGGAACTTTTAGAAACATGAATGATGAAGAAAAGATATATTTATAATTCAGCTCAACTATTAAAGAAGCAAGCCGAGATTAGAGAGCATCAAAGTTCTAAAACTTAGAAGAATTAAAATGAGAGTAAGCATACCAATGACATATCGACTTGGCTTCTGATCCTTCAATGGAAGCTGCAAATGCTTACAAGTGCTGAAGAAGCCATCACTGGTGAAAGAAGAACGAAGAGAAATTAAGTCAGCGCAAGCTGAAACAGAATCATGGTTATTGCCATCAATGCTCAAATTTGACTTCTTTCTCCTTCTGCAATCATTAGATCTCTCCCTTTGCCTCCTCGCCATGATAACATGCCAGTGATTCTTGACAGCGTTATCAGTCCTCCATGGAAACAGTCTGGCAATGAAAGCCCACTTGTTTCCATAGAATTTATGAGCAACAAGAAGCCTCTGTTCCTCCTCTTTAGTAAAAGCGTTGCGGTTAATCCTCGGGTCCAATTGATTAAACCATCTCAGCCTGCAGCTCTTTCCTGCAATCAAATTGAAGGAAACCATTAGAATAAATTTCGAGAGATATATTGATAATAAAACAGAGAGCTTTTTGCTGGATAAAAGACCTGATCTTCCTTCAAGTTTCTGCGCGATAAGATTCCAGTTTTGAGGGCCGTTAAGAGCGACAAGCTTCTTAAGCATGGCATCCTCAGCTGGTCTCCAGTGGCCTCTGTAAGAGAGTTTGGAATGTCTAGCTACGTGCTCTCTGCTTACCAGATCCAAGGAGTATTCTTCTCCAGCACTAAAAAGGCCATCTTGCTGCTCTAATGGCACTCTAGACTCTTTGAATTTGCCATTTTTTTCGAAGAAGGAGAGTAGAGTAGGGGGTGAAGGAAGAGGAAGTCCCATGTGTTGAGATACGTGGATGGTATGGGGAAATCCAAGAACCATGATAAGGGAGAGAGCATTGCATATATTTATATTAAGTTCGGAGGGGAAGGTGAAGAATGTTTGAGAAAAATATAATTATATAAAATAAAGGGGATCAATTTAAGTGTATTTAATTTATGTTTCATTTAATTCTCTAATTATTTAAAGTTAGGAGCATTTAAATGCATGCCACATAGTTCTCACGTATTTACAAGTCTAATACTTAAAATTTCATATTTACATACTTTTACACATCAAAAATAACGCTATGTATAACATAATTTAAAAATTAAAGGCATATTTTCTTTATATATTGATCCATGACATCAAAATATAAGAATTATCTAAATAAGAAAGTTTAAACTTTAGATATGTAAACACATAAGTGTGCTATGCTAAAGTCTTAATTATGATTTATTTTTCCTATTTATGGCAAGAGTATTTCTATTCATAAAAAGGAAATAATGTCAAAATCAACTCAATCATTACTAGTGAGGGCTTGTTTGGGACTATATTTTTTTATTTTTGGTTTTATTTTTATGAACATATTGTTGTTATTTTTAAAAGTATTCAAGGTAATATTTAGAAGTTTTGAGTGTTTTTAAAAATAATTAGGACTAATAAATATATTTTATTTTAAAAAAATATATAAAACTAAATAAAAAAAAGAAAGAAAATCAAAGTGATGATATTGCTATCTAATAGGTGAAGAAAACTTGAATTATTATGTTCTCCTTTATAAAATTGTCTTTTAAAGATAATTAAAATAATGAAAAATTAAATATGCATCTGACTATACTAAAGGTTCAACAACATGATTAACCCAAACCAACTTGAGTTCACATAAATTAGCTCATGCCATTATGGACTCATCTCGCAATAAAGTCTTGTTAGGCAAACTCGTGATAAACTGGTCAAACTCATGATTAACTTGCCAACCACCGGCGAACTTGGTAAACTCAGGATACTATTCAGAGAAGGAAGGAAACTCAGTATTTTTTTTTCCAAAAAATTTGTATGATTTAACTTTAATCCGCCTAAATTCATCAGCTAAATCCACCTAAAAATCGGATTTAATAAATCCAAATACACGTCAAGAAACTAACGAGACGATAAAGTTTTGGCTTCAACAAAATATCAAATTTATTTTACGTCTTTCACGTTTGGACGGATTTACGTTAAAAGCGCACGTAAATCGTGTTAATTATAAGCGACCAAACACCCCCACTTACAACTTGGAAGAAGATGAAGTCTCATTTAATAATTTGTTAACGACTTCTACTTGCAACATGCATGTAAACTTATCACTTGTTCTCTTCGAACATTTTCATGCATATTCCCAAAATGTTAGCTATTAACAAATTGACGAAAGCTGCTTGTTATTTTGTGCAAATGTTGATTCACCAAAACAACCTTCTTAATTAATAAACTAAATATAAAGTAACTTTCGAATCATCTTTTGTAGGGCATGAGTAAATTATTTATTATTTTGACATTTAAATTTTAGGTTAGAAAAATACAATGTAATGGACTACAGCTAGTATTTATATTGAGCTTTATTAACTCTAATTGGCGAGCCTGCATAATATTCTTCCTTAGAATGGCATTTTAAACCATTAACAAAAATTAGTTTGTTTTGTCACAGTAGAAGACAATATTTGCAACGTATTTGTGCATGAAGGCGTTATTTATAGAATACTGATCAATTCGAAATATAGCATTCAAGGCTCTATTTTTGTAGGTTTATTTCAATGGTATTCATTTTTTCTTTTATAATATAAGAGATATTTCTTATGATATAAAAGAAGTTGTTTGTAATTGATGCAAGCTACAAAATTTGTGGCGGTAGAGTAATTGATTATCGTCTTAGCGCTGCACGAAAATTCAACACACACTCAGATAAAAGAAAATAACTAGTAGTGATACTATTAGTTGTTACGTAGAGAACCCGTAAAGGGAAAAAACCACGAGGTATGACTAAGTGTAAAAATTCACTGTAAGTTGATGATTGCAGACCCCTCGTTCAACAGACAGGAAAAAATTACAAAGTTTTCCGAATTAAAATGTTGACTTGCGGATGAGATTGCTGGAAAAAATGGGCATTGACTGACAACTGGGGGTTAAAAGTGGTCGGCGGTGGTCGACAATGGCAGAAGTGATGTTAAACTTCAATTCCTTCTCAAAATTTCATGCTCTTCCTCAAATATCAAGCTCTCCTCCTTTCTCATGAGAGTAATGAAACTCTATTTATAGAGTCATGCTACAATAAATGAGAGAATATGAACCACTTTGATCGGACGGCTCAAAGAGCCTCTCACATTCATATGATATTTGATTGCAATTTTAGTGTCTTAATGGTGTCAGAATTAAGTGATCTTGGGCTCGTTGGATTTGTCTCGCCAAGACAATCGATTCAACTATAAACTTGCTTGATTCGGAATCCGTTTGATCCTCCCAAATGTGTCTGGAAGACTTCCAAATTGTTATATTTTTTTATTTATGACTCACATTTATTTTAATAACTTATGAGATTTATTTTTGATAACTTAAGTTATTAATTTTCATAACTCATAACTTATGTCATAAATTATGACAACTTATGATATTTATTTTGATAACTTAAGTTATTTATTTTCATAACTCATAATTTATGTCAACAACTTATGATATTTATTATATTTATTTTGATAACTTAAGTTATTTATTTTCTTAACTCATAACTTATGTCATAATTTATGATAACTTATGATATTTATTTTTGTAACTCTATAACCCCTAAAATAAATAAATGTTACTAACTTATGTCATTGATTTTATTAATAAAAAACAATTAATTTATTAAATTATCATAAATCCTATTGGTTAGTAACCCCCTTGATTGATGATGGTTAAATAGAGCATGAATTTAAGATTGGGTCCTCTCTCTACCTAACACACCTCGTACATTTCTCTCCATCAGAAAGTACAGAAAGTTTTAAGGGATTAGAGAGAGAAACTCCATCTCTTCAAGATCAAATTTGTTCATCATGAATACAGGTATGCGTCACTTTATTTTACATATGTAAAAATCATGAATTTAAAAGATCTTGGTTATTATGTACTTTTCTTTTGAAATTTGTGTACAAAGTTGAAACATGAATTTTCAAACACAAATATGGTTTAATGACTTGATCATGGCTCGATATGGTTCATATTGGATCAAAGTTAGTATCATTAGATATGTCTCGTCAAACCGGTCAGTTTCATTATAAGTTTGTTGAAATCAAAGCTCTGGATGACTTTTTTTTTTCGAGTTTTGGATTTTCCTTGCTTAAAAAGTCGAGATTTATGTCCAATGATGGAAATTAATTGGAGGCGTACAATAATGTTGAAAATGTGATACCCGACAACCACAGAAAAGCTATTTCCATTAACCTTTTATGTTTATAATAATTTTAGTTTCATGCATTATTTCTTATACGTAAGAAATTATATATATTTATTCGGAATTTATAAAGGCTAATTTCGGTGCTAGGAAACAAAAATATAAGAACATGATTTTAACCTTGTTCATTTATTTATCAAAATAAGATTATTAGACAAGAAAAGATTCAAGGAAATTTTCTATGTTTAAAATCAATACTTAGGCTTGCTTAGACTATTTTTGTTTTTGTTTCTTTTTATTACTATTTTAAAATTTTATTTCCTTAAAATATTATATTGGGTTTCTTATTTTTGTTTTTACAAAATAAATTAGCATATGTTTTAACATCTAAAAATTTATGATTATTTTTTTTTAAAACTCTAATTATTTAAGTAGCAACATAAGAAATATATTTATTTCAATTTAAAATAAAATAAAAAATAGTAAAAAAATAAGACCAATAAATAAAAAATTGATCTAAATAGCCCATTAGTTTCTAAATACATGCTGATGAACATGTACAATAAATTTCATCATTTTATGAAATATATTTTCTAAATTCAAGGGATTAAATAGTTGCATCTCAAAACTCTTATCATTTCAATAAATGCAACTTTATATACTATTGAATTCTTTTAGGACATAGGGTCCATATAATTCGTGCATACATATAACCTCATAAAAAGATTTTCTTTCGTAGAGAGATGGGGAAAGAGATTGTGTGATGGATGAAAATCTTTTAAGGGAATCTTATAAAATATATTAATTTTCGAACTCTGATAAGTCAGAGGGAAGCGGCTTATTTGAGGCTCTTTGAGCTATTGGATTCTAGAGAGAGCTATTGGATTTTACATAGAGATAAATGCTCAACTTGTAGGCTCATGAGGAGTCTCATTTCGATGCTTTTTTTGGTGAGCTCCAACTACTTCCTCCTTCTCCTTCTACCGCCAATACCTTCTCCGACGAGCTCCTGTAAAAATTGAGTTTTCAATTCGAGCTTGTGAGCCAACTGATATCAGTATGAGTCGACCTCAAGCTCACAGTTTGGCAAACGAGTCGAGCTTGTGATTGCATAGCTCATACTCGCCTTGACTCGTTTGCACTCGGCCCTAGCCACTTCAAACACCTAGGTGAAAATATGGAATCCCAAATGTCTTGAAGTATCTTTAATAGGAAATTGACATATGTCCTTAAAAGTTATGATGACTTCCTCTGGCAACTATCGTAACACATGTAGGCTGGGGTAATTTCTTGAGTGAATAAGAGTGATTGGATAAACAAACATGCCTGATTTAGCCGATTCAGTATATGAGTTTAATTCAGTCACTTCAATAGGTGGAATCAATTTAACAAGAGATATTTAACAAAAGTTCATATATCTTCATATTTGTATATACATCTACAAAAGATCAAAGAACCTTTGATTCCATGATAATCTCCAACAATGATTATCTGACTATAATTAGGAACCACAATAGTACCTAAAAATTAACCTAAATTCCCTTCCAAACCTCCCAACCTTTCTATAAATAGCAAAATTAACAGTAATAGACTCTGTCAACCGACCCCCCCTCACCTCTCAATTTTCCACCCCTCCATCTCCAAAAATAGAAACCCACACATACAAACCCAACTCCCCCCTTTTATATAAACCATCAGAACAAAAATCAATCGAAACAAATTGAAAAGAAGAAGAGCAGAAATCATTAAAAACAGAGCAAACTCATGGCGTTGACCAAGTTCCACCTCCTCGCCTTCATCTGCCTCGTCTCCTCCATCGCCCTGGTGACCTCCATCGATACCTTCTCCATCCAAGGCCGCGTCTACTGCGACACCTGCCGAGCTGGCTTCGAGACTAATATCACCGAATACATCCCAGGTACGTACTTCTTCTCTACAATCACATGAAAATATATATATATATATCTGGTGGTATTAAGGGTGCGTGTTGCAGGGGCGAAGGTTCGGGTCGAGTGCACCCATTTCTTGACAAATAAGGTGGAGCATTCTAATGAAGGTGTAACAGATTCAAGCGGATCTTATAAGATTACTGTGTCGAATGATCACGCAGATGAGATTTGCGAGGTGGTGCTCGTCGAAAGCCCGCAGGAAAACTGCATGGAGATCGAGAAAGGTAGAGACAGAGCCCAAGTTTTGCTCGCGAATGATGGAGGCATAAGCGGGAATACAAGGCACGCGAACTCACTTGGTTTCCTCAGGAATGAGCCTCTTCCTTTCTGCGCACAGCTGCTTCAGGAGTATTTTGGGCAAGGAGAGGAAGACTAGTAATGCATGCAATTTTTTAGCTATATCGCGTGGCCTTAATTTGTTAAAAAGGCTTAAAAGTTGAGTATTTTATGGCTTTGTTGTAGGTCTCAAAATTTACCACATTGTGTGTAAGTTTGTGTTGTCGAGTTTCATCGAAATGATAAGTTTGATTATGTAAGTTGGAAAGTCATTGGAAAAGATTAATTACTTGGACTTATTATGTATTGATTGCCGGTAGGCTTTTTGTGGAGTAACAGATTTAACTTGGGTACTAGGAATTATTATTATATTGCTCAAATTTGAATGTATTCTGCAAGTATAATCATACTGTTAAAATCCTAAAAAAGGCTATATTTTGTTTTTATATCTGATACGGCACCAATAAATTTTCATCATCTTGCACGAATCTCGAACAATGACATTGATCCCGAGATGATATTTTGAACATGAAACGTTCAAATCTTGATAAAAAGTCATCTGGAGCTCCAATTTTAGCAAACTTAGAGTCAAACTGACCGGCTCGATGAGACAGACCTAATGATATAAAAACTATTTGGTCATCATATTAAATTATCTATTTTGCTATTTCACCTTATGCAATAAGCTCTGTTCTTGTCAGAATAGAAAACTTAATCGAGAAACCAGTATATTAAATTAGCAAGATTCTCTCTGATACAGAAAGTTGTTATCCGATGACAAACATGACTGCGCTAGCATTGGTATTCTCAGCAATGAGACTTCAACTCCCTTTGAAGGCTATCCTACAAAAACCAGAAGCATCGGGAAGGTTAGTTAAATGGTCGTTGGAATTGGGAGAATTTGACATCAACTATTTACCACGACCGAACATCAAATCACAGGTATTGGCCGACTTTGTGGTAGAATGTATAGTGTTAACCTCTGATGAACCACCCTCTTCTCTTCCACGATCGCCCCAATGGACTCTATACGTAGACAGAGCATCCAGAAACTCAGGAGCTAGTACAGGAATACTACTCATCTCCCCAAAGAAAGACATTTTGGAGTACGAACTTCGTTTGAAATTCCAAGCCACCAATAATGTTGTTGAATATGAATCACTTGTCGTTGGATTAAAGCTTGTCATCAACTGTGAAGTACAAAACATAATTATCTACACTGATTCTCAACTCATCGCATCTCAAGTAGAAGGAGAATTCGATGCTCATAATGCAAAACTTATGCAGTATCTCAGTCTGGTCTTGTAAGAACACTTCTCGCCCAAATTGAAATATGTGGGCTCATTCACATACTTCGAGAGCATAACACCGAGCCGATGACCTCTCCAAGCTTGCAACTTCAACAACTGGAGATCTCTATAAAAAAAGGTATATTGAGGAGATACGGAGATACATTTTGAGATACATTTTCCTAGCATTCATGGCCCATGGGTGATACTGTTTATAGATGACCCAAGGGAGTCATCTTTGATGGATCTCATCAGCTCCTTCCTCCAAGACGGGACACTGCCAGATGATGGTACTACATCAATTCGCATCTGGCGCATGGCTGCCAACTTCATCTTTATATGGGATGAACTGTATAAGAGGCATTCGTAGGTCCATATCTCAAGTTTCTTCCTCTATCTGAAGCTGATTATGCTCTACGAGAAGTTCATTCTGGTATATGTGGGGAGCATCTTTGTAGCAGGGCACTTGCTCTTAAAATAATGAGGCAAGACTTCTACTGGCCTACGATTAAACAGGATGCATTAGAGTTTGTGCAAAAATGCAAGAATTGCCAACTGCACTCCAATCTTATGCATGCACCGCCAGTGAAACTCATATCTTTTCTGAGTCCTTTGTCGTTTGCTCAATGGGGGGTAGACATCATGAGACCTTTTTCGATAGCTACTGGACAACGAAAATTCATCATCTTAGTTGTCGACTACTTAACCAAATGGGTAGAAGCAGAGCCTCTTACAAAGATCACTGAGGCCAATGCTTCGCAATTTGTCTAGAAAAACATCATCTGTCGCTTTGGGCTTCCCGCAAAGATTATCACTGATAATGGGACTCAATTCACTGGAAGAGTCTTCATATCATTCTGCAAGGATCTTTACATTCAGTTGGTGCAGACTGTTGTGGCACGTCCCCAAACGAATGGACAAACTGAGGTGACAAATCGAACGATGCTCAAGGGCTTGAAGACTCTTCTTGAGAAGACTGGGGGCCAATGGGTAAAAGAGTTGCATAATGTCTTCTCAGCCTATCGTACCACCACACGAACTCCTACCGGGGAAACTCCATATAACTTGTGTTTTGGCACTGAGGTTGTCATCCCTTTTGATATCAGAGTTCCAAACCCCTGAGTCAAGACTTTCGACTCGGATAACAATGAAGAAAAGCTCTGACAACATTTGGATCTTCTCCAAGAAATAAGCGATGTGGCTCACCTCAGAGCTGCTTCCTACTGTCAAAGAATTGCTCGCCACTTCAACCGAAGACTAAAGCCTCGACCTATCTCTATTGGTGACTTGGTTTTGCGTGTATCAAAGCCACTGGTCATGGTCCCCAAAGCAACAAATTATCTCCTCTCTGGGTAGGCCCATACATTGTGGCTGCCATGATCAAGTCTGGAACCTTCAAACTCAAAGAATCTGATGGAAAAATCTTGCCCTGGACTTGGAATACCGAGAATCTTCGGAAATACTACCAGTAGCACTTCAGTTATATCATCTATGTCATATTGCATACAATGTCAATGTATCTCAGACTTATTAAATAGCATTTACTTGCTTTCTTCTACAAAAAAAAGAATATCTTTAGAAAGTGTAATGGCTCATTCACGAGTCACTTTATACTCTTGGCCTAAGAAATACACAAATCTGGTTGTATCTTAATCAGACACGATCGATCCCAGGGGGATTTGATCTAACCTCTTCCAAATGGGTTAACATCACCGAGTTCTACCGAGTCACCGAGTTCTTACTTCAATAAATAACCCTAGATAGATTAACAGTCCTTGGTAGGCTACACCTGACCCCTTCCACACAGGTTCATAAGTGAGCAATACTCCAACAAACAATATCGGATGGGTTAATAAGTCCTCGGTGGACTTTCGTAGGATCCTCCCATACATGTTAAATATCACTGAGTAATACTCTAATGCATAACCTCAGCCAAGTAAAAGGTCGCTGACAATTTATTCTCACATGTAACCATCTTACATGACATTGGACATCAAACGCATCAAGCCACTGCGATAGTTCGCCCAGCACGCCGTTGCGACACACTGCCACAACACGTTGTCGCGACTCAACGTGTCGCTGTAACACATCGACCCAACGCGTCATCACGTCGGGATGCATCGCCGCAGCGCTACACGCTGTTGTCACGTGTCATCACATCGCAACCCGTCGTCGCCACGCCTCGCCGCGATGCAACACTTCACTACAACCCATTGCAGCACGCAACGCAACATGTTGCCCCACCGTGTCACGCCGCTGCAACGGGTTGCCATGCCGCGCCGTCACATCGCACAGCCGCAATGGGTTGCGCCGACGCCTCGCTCCACCAGCCGCAACGTGCTGCCCCGCCACGCCGCCGCAACTCCACCCTTCAGACCCCTATTTATAGGCTCAAAAAGAGTCTTGGCCAATAAATGCACGTTAATATAGAAATCTAAAAAGAAGTGTAAGCATTAAATGCTCATAAATAATAATAAATAAAAAATTTTCATATTCCAAAAAAAAAAACTTTTCAATTTTTATTTCTTCTCTTTTGCCCTTTCAAATTCCTTAATTTCTTCAAATTCTTTTATAAAATAATATTTATTCTATTTTAGGCGGGATTCGATCCCCCTTTCTCCCACATAAAGCAATAGACCTTACCAACTGAGCTATCTTCGACTTCTTAATATATAAGGAGAATAAATATTCTAATACCGATACTAATAAAATAATATATATGCAGGACTTAAATGCTTCTAATTTTGATATTTTCGAACGATAAAAACGATCTAATTTTGATATTTTTGGATCCCGACACGATTTTTTGAACAAGAAACGTTCAAATCTTGATAAAAAGTCATCTAGAGCTCCGATTTTTGCAAACTTATAGTCAAACTGACCGACTCGATGAGATGGACATAATGATATAAAAATTAGTCTAATCCGAGTCAAATTAAGCTCAGATCAAGTCATTAAACCAACATTGGAAGACTTCCTGACATATTTGGAAAGTCAAATGGTTGTCAAATATGGCAAGTTTATACTCAAATCGAGCAGCTCGACAAGACAAATCAAACGAGCCCAAGATCACTCAATTCTATCATTAAGACACTTAAATGTCTATTAAACGCCGTATGATCGAGGGAAGTTCTCTGAACCGTCCAATATAAATAGTTCATATTCCTGTATTAATTGCACCCAAAACACTATAAATAGAGTCACATCCCTCTCATGAAAGGGAAGGAAGTCTAGAAAGAGCCTGATGTCTTGAGGAGAAGCTGCAGATCACCGCTGACCTCAGACGACCACCACCGACCTCCGACGACCACCGACGACTGTCGTCGATCACCGCGGACCGTCGTCGACCACCGCCGACCGTCGTCAACCTCTACCTACCGTCATCGATCACCGCCAACCGGACGCCACCAGCCGACTTTGTTCCTTGAAAAACATAGTTACCCTTTCCCGTATGTGGGACAATGGATTTCTATAATCATCAATCAACAGTGGATTTCTGCAACTGGGCCAGACTCGGTGGTTTTTCCCTTACGGGTTTTTCACGTAAAAACTTTTACAGTCATCATCGTTTTTTTCTATTTCATCTGTGTGTGTGTTGGACTTTCGTACAACACTAAGATGATAATTTGTTACTCTACCGCCACAAATTTTTTAGCACACATCAATATCTATGCAATTTTTATAATTAATATCAACCATTGATCATACTGGATTACTAGAAAATGATTGTATTGGACCATCACACTAAGATGCTGTGCGTATAATGGGATCAAAATTCAATATTTGGAGATTAGTTAATGTTGATGATAATGTAAAACAAACATAAGGTTTGGTGTAGACCCAATATAGTTAGACATTCACATATGATAGAAAACCCTTTGATCTTTATCAATAATGATTTGAATAATCCAGATAAGGTGGGCTTAGAGCGTGCGCTACATTGGACATCTCAGCGATGCCATAAACAATGAGCAATCATAACTAAGTTTAGGGTACCCAAATTAAAAATGGAATATACTATATGGTCTCCCCCTATCAAATATTATATATATATAT